CAAAAAAAAGTATGATAGGAATGAAACAGCTCAATATTCAAAACTATACTTTGTTATGTGCTTTCATATACAAACTCATTGAGAGCAGCGATTTATTCTTATTGATTGTTTACCCCTAAGCACCATGTCTAACACATAATAGGCATTCAATAAGTATTTGTTGAATAAATATTAAATAAGTTTTTTGACAAGGCAGTAACAAATAATATCTTGAACATAGTGTCACATTACGTAGTTTATGTTTTCTGGCTTTCTTAATGTCATAGGGTCATGTTGTGGATGACTGAACTTGAAATCAGCCACTTACCAAAAGGTCACTAAGTTTCCTAAAATGTACAAGTCAACATTTCCTGAAGGACATTAGGGCAAATTTAAAGCAAAAACAGAAATCAGAAAAAATGAACTTTAACCACATTAAAATATGATGAAAATGTCTTTAAAGTATCACCGTGAAAGATACTGCCCCACAATGTTCGTTAAGAAAAAATAAGGCCAAGTGTGGTGGCTCATGCCTGTAATACCAACACTGTCAGAAGCCAAGGCAAGAGGATCACTTGAGGCCAGAAGTTCAAGGCTGCAGTGAGCCATGATTGTGACACTGCACTCCAGCCAGGTTGACAGAGGGAAACCATGTATAAAAAAAGAAAAGAAAAAGAATACTTTCTGATTATTCAAAGAAGAGGAATATTCTTAATTGGTTAGAACTTTAATCTGCTCATCAGGGAAGAATTCATCTCAAAGCTCCAGCACTAAGATCAGGTCTGATCTTATACTTACATTGAAGTTATCAGTATTCTTCATTTGGGGTTTTGTCTATTTTCTGTGGACCCTGTGAAATTGCTTCTAAGAGTTCACTAATAACTAGAATGGCAGATAGTGAAATACTTATTAAAAATTCCTGAAGAGGGTTTTATGATTTCCTCTGAAACAAGTTAGCCTCCAGGTTCCAAAGTGTGGGAACATTATTTTCAAATCATTCGACACTCCAAATTTGAGCAGTCATCTGTGCTTGCTATATGGCTGTCCAGAAGTTGATACAGCATTGAAGAGCTGAGCAAAGGAAAAGAAGGGAAGACCCTTCATAGGCAGCCTATGAAGTTTGGGTGTGATTCAAGTCAGTAAGGTTTTTTTGTTGTGGCTTTTAAAGCATTACCAAATTGAGGAAACTGTAAAGTCTTGTTTGTAAATTACTTGTTGCCCTTTGAGCTTTCAGTTTGGGTCTAGAAATGCTGTCTGTGCATGCCCAGAAACACAACATACAAAGAGCTCAGTGCTAATAATGAAGTACAATTATAATGTGAATATTTGGGCAAATCACTGCTTTTCACATGGGTGAGGATAAACATTTTGGACATTGGTTAACAGTTTTTAAAAGTATAATGTTAGGGCCATGCACGGTGGCTCACACCTGTAATACCAGTACTTTGGGAGACCAACGTGGGAGGATCACCTGAGGTCAGGAGTTCAAGACCAGCCAACATGGTGAAACCCATCTCTACTAGAGATGAAAAATCAGCCAAGCATGGTGGCACATGCCTGTAATCCCAGCTACTCAGGAGGTTGAGGCAGGAGAACTACTTGAACTCGGGAAGTGGAGATTGCAGCTAGCCAAGATAACACCATTGCACTCTGGCCTAGGCAAAAAGAGGAAAACTCCATCTCAAAAAAAAAAAAAAAAAAAGATATAATGTTAGAATTCAGTGTCTTTTTGGAAGGCATGATTGTCTGGATCACAAATCTTCCATTTGCCATTCTATTAATATGTTTTCTCCCTTTTTATCCAGCTTGGCTCAAATTATCACTAGAAGCTAAAGAATGAAATAAAAACTCCCCAGATGCTTCCTAGACTCAGTTCGATAATTGACATTTCTGGAAAGAGTGTATCATTTTGATTCCATATACTCTGAGCCATAAAACCACACATATTGAAGGGGAGGGATGGATAGGGGTAAGAAGAAGAGCAGTTAGTATTATTGGCACCAGGGCTTTGTTGCTTTTTTTCTACTGAGCCTCTAAAGCTGGGTTATCAGATTTGGAAACAGTGAAGAGAAGGGAGCCTTTGGGCTTGGTGCTCAGACCAACATAATGGGGCTTGGAACACACACAGTCAGATTTGGGGCAAAGGGGACTAAGATAATAGAAAAAGTATAGGACCCTGGGAGGTCTGGTTCGCTTGCCAGTCCTGGCTCAGGCGTCAGTGTTCAGGCTCTCGGGCTAGAACAGTGTCCCGGTGAAGACTACAGCTGAAGTGACCTTATGGGGCCTGAGGGCCTTAAATATCTGGTGGTGGTTCTGATGGTGTGGCCTGTAACTGACCCTGATCTACAAGTAACCCTTCAGTGCCCAATCAACATATTTCTTCATAAGCCCTTGAAAAATGATCCAGATCTGAGATAGGTTTGCATTTGAGAGTTAAATCATAATTTGTCAGTAACACATTTTAATTAAATAGGCAACATAACTCTGAAGTCTGATTCAAGTGACATGTGAGTTCTCAATACATTAATCTCCTGGCATACTGGCACAGCAGGAGTATATCTGTCCTTTCTAATTTCTGAACATTTAGGAATCCTGTTATATCATTTAAAAATCTGGATTCAGGCAAATCTGGGATATTTTCATAATATATTAAATTGTTTTCCTCAGTGTCATTATGAAAGTGAGTATTTCTATGAAATGACTTAAGAGTAGTCAAGTTTCTAACCCAACCAAAACACGACTTTACACCTGGAAGTTGATATTAACAGTGAGATCACATGTAATGATTCATCAATTGTAAATCCTATTACCTGAAAAATTCAGAATTACTGACTTTTTTAAATTGCTTTTTTAATTTATTTCTCTGTCATTCACATGTCTCATTCTGTTTCCATATTTGGCACTTTAATAAATGTCAAAAATGCTCCCAAAGTCATTCGTGTGATAGATAGTATCTCTAAAGTGAACAATTGTCTTCTATCACTTGTGGATTTGTTTAAATCTCTTTTCCCATCTGTCTTTCTACAGTGCATTAATTCTACGTTCCTAATTCCTGAAAAGCAACCAGCACAGTTTTAAAGCATGTTGCTATCCAATTCAAATTGTATTTCTGATGATTTGATTAAAAACTACAAAGAACTACTTTCAACAAAAGCTGCTTATAGTGGAACACAAACATTTGTGAAGCAGGCATGCAGTACTTAACCTGCACTCACAGCTTTAGAGGGAAATATATTCGAGGCAGGAATTAATCACAAATGAAATCCCACCCTTGGGCCTCGTTAGACAATCCGTCAAGGAGGTTCAAATGTTCAGTGGCTTCTCTACAGTCAAATTGTACTTACATATCCTAGCTTCCAGTGTCTCATAAGAAAGCCAAGAGATTTTTATTTAATGATGATTTAAGAAGAAAAACAGCACCATCAGTTAATATTAAAATCACCAAAACAAGATAATCTGAAAAACAGAGTAATTCATATATGTTATTAGAGTTTTACCTTTGTGATTAAAATTAAAATTATGCAGATTGTGATGGAAGTTGACTTTTTGACATTTAAATAATGATTTGGTAGTTCTGTGATATTTGCAGCCATTTTAATATTTATATGCTCTGAAAGTTTGGGTATTCTACTTTGGATGATCTGTATCTAAAAACATTTTCCCTAAGCCAGGAAACAAATCAGTGTTTATTAAAAGCAAAGTTTTATGCCTAAAGCTTTCAATTCTGAATGCCATGTAAAATAAGAACTACAAACAGTTCCATGCTTTGCTAGTAACATATACTGTTCTGTGGGGGACAAAAACATGGGAGTGATTCTATGACGGAACATGACCTTATGAGGAGGTTGCAGCATTAGAGATTTTGTTTTTCTCAGCTAATACTTGAGAAGGAATAACTTCTCATAGCGTTTTACCATAGGGTATGTCGTGATGTTTAATGGAATAAATAAGGTGATGTGCTATCAGCAGTTGCAGCATTCAATTTCTATGACATGTTTTTCACCGAGAAAGTGCTCTCTGGCTTACTAGTATGTGAACTTTAAGGCTCTGATCTAGATAATTTTAGTGACTTTGATTTCATTATAGAAATTCCTAGACTACTTGTGGGATAAAACAAAGGCTGAGACCATATTGAATTTCAACAAGTTGAATTAGCAGAAAATAAAGATAAAATGCCTTTCTATTTAAGAACATGATGATGTTTTAATTGTTATAGCATTTGGCATGCCTAATGTATACAATCCTTGACATTCATATAATAACACAAGAAAGTTGTTTGGGATTTTTCTTTAATTTCCTAGTGTCCCCTTTCCTCTCTAGCATTTCTCCCACTCCTTCCCCAGCCGTGGCCTTTAAACCCCCTCCCTCTGCTTCATCCTTCCATAAAGAAAAACACTATGCAGCGAAGGGATTCATGTAACAATGTCTTATTTCTATATAGATGGGCAAGGCAAGGCTGCCTATTACCTAGCTATGATGAACAGACCACCATCGTTGTGACAACTGATGTAGATGCCTCCAGGGCAAAGCAAAGGTTTACATATTACACAAGCAATTTAACTGTTTTCTAAACATATTGCCAAGACAGTGGGAGTTGGCAGCCCACACTGTGTTTTAGGTTTTGGAGACTTGGATTAGAAGTGACTGTTGATTATGAACCTTTTTATTTGTCTTCTATAAACTACAAGCAACCTAGTAACCCAGGAAAGAATTCTTCACAGCACTTAAACTTGTCTTCCTAGCGTCCCAAGATTACATACACAAATCACTTGACAAAAGTGGTGTAAGACTCTTGCGCATAGATAACCACACAAGACAATTGTCTTGTTCTAACCCTTAAAGAGTTCCACAAAGTGAAATGTTTTATAATCCTTTTCTGTGCAGTAGGCAAGGAAGAAAAGAAAAGAGGTTGGGCAAAGATTATCCAGAAGAAAGAAAGAGACTCTTTTGGGGTTCCAGTTGAAACACAATAAAGAACATAATTAACTTTACAATTCTTTGTGTTTTTCATTTGACTGCAGGGAGGAGATGAAAGAGGACTGCTAAGCCTCGCATTCCATCCCAATTACAAGAAAAATGGAAAGTTGTATGTGTCTTATACCACCAACCAAGAACGGTGGGCTATCGGGCCTCATGACCACATTCTTAGGGTTGTGGAATACACAGTATCCAGGTATCACTAAAAGCCATCGAAGCATAAAAATTTTTATCTTATTTTCTCATAAACTTTTCATAAGCTTTTTTATTTCAAAGTTGCAAATAAATAGCCATAAGGTGGCAATAATTAAATCATTATCTCCATCTTTCTGAAAACTTCATATGTGTCTTTAAGAGAAATTGAGAATGATGGTTTTGACATTTTTCCTCAATTGTCTTTTAACTTAAAGGCTACTTCGGAAACTTGGAAAATAATGTAATTTTTCAGCAATTTCTATTAGCTCCATTTCAAATATATGTTTACTTACTTACTATGTGCCTGGAGTTTGTTTTCCCATTTATGTACTATTTACTTTCTGGCAGACTCACCTTACATATTTTAACAAGCATGGCATTGTTTTCTTCCCACAATGTAGAAAAAATCCCCACCAAGTTGATTTGAGAACAGCCAGAGTCTTTCTTGAAGTCGCAGAACTCCACAGAAAGCATCTGGGAGGACAACTGCTCTTTGGCCCTGATGGCTTTTTGTACATCATTCTTGGTGACGGGATGATTACACTGGATGATATGGAAGAAATGGATGGGTTAAGGTAAAAGGCTGATCACAAATGGGTTCCTCTCAAGGTTGAAATGGTTTAAGTACCAGGAGAAAAGCTCAGCACCAGGGAATTAAGTACCATCTTTGATTGGTCACCTTGGTTAAATACTTAACTTGTGTCGTCAGCATCTGTATTTATGAAATGAAAAGGAATTCACTAACATGCTATGTGATCTTTTGTTTGTCATAAAAAGAATTAGTGTTGTGTAGTTCTTTGCTGCAGGGCTGCCTCTGCTACACAGAGCACAGAGAAGCGGTGGCCCTGTACACCCACACTGCCTCTCAACGCTGCGTAATGGGCTAACATCGCCCAGTGAAGCTCCTTGGGAGATGTAGAATACATAGGTTTAGGCTGACAAAAATTAAGAGAACAGAGTCAAAAAAAGAAAAAAAGCAGTGTACTAGTGATGCCACAGTCCTCAGCCACCATCATGCTGTGTCTTGGTTCAGTCTCTTGTCTGGAATGCCTCGGTTTCGTTTTCCACAATAACAAATTTATTTTATTTTATTATTCATTTATTTATTCAAACAAGGTCTCACTCTGTTGCTCAGGCCAGAATGTAGAGGCACCATCATGGCTCACTGTGGCCTCAAACCCCTGGGCTCACGAGATCCTCCTGGCTGCATGCCACCACATCTGGCTTATTTTTAAATTTTCTGTAGAGATGGGGTTTCGCTATGTTGCCAGGCTGGCCTCAAACTCCTGGCATCAAACAATACTGTCACCTTGGCTTTCCAAAGTGCTGCCATTACAGACATGAGTCCCTGCATCCAGACACTTTAATAATTTTATTTCAAGTAACGAGATGATTCTTTTATCAATAGAGCAACCTCACCATATTTAATATAGATGAAATACAAAATGAAAATGTAAAATACATGTTCTGTCCCCCAACTTCTCAGTGATTTCACAGGCTCAGTGCTACGGCTGGAAGTGGACACAGACATGTGCAGCGTGCCTTATTCCATACCAAGGAGCAACCCACATTTCAACAGCACCAACCAGCCCCCTGAAGTGTTTGCTCACGGGCTCCACGATCCAGGCAGGTGAGAACACAAGTCTGTCTTCTCACTGACTTTAAAGCCAGGGAGGGATCTGGGAGCTGGGAAAACACAGCATAGAGCATCTACCACCATAGAACAGCCCAAAGGTGGTATCTAAGGCCGTGCCTCTAAAGTCACAGCAGGTCGTTACTCAAGTGAGTATTTAGCACTCTGTCTTCTATTACCATGAGAAGCAGATTGAGAAGGCAGATTAGACAAGGAAAAGGACATATTCATAGAGAAAAATTCACTTCAAAATGTGGAGGGGTTATTATCAGATAAACACTGTTGGACTAGTATAATGACCAAGAGTTTAATCTGAACAGTTTAGAGAGATAAACTTTTTGATCTGTCTCCTTAAATCCCACTAAATCTTAAGTTCTTTATATATTACATAGGGGTGAATAATAACTGCCTTGCAATGATTAAATAAAAATCTGTAAGTAAAGTACCAATAGTGTGTCTGACCCCTGGTAGGTTTTTAGTAAATTGCAATTCTTATTCTCATAGCTTCACTTCAAATATGATGCTGCAGTGTTCATTTGCAAGGAGTTGAGCTAAATATTAACTTTTAGTTCACTTTGAAAAAAATTGCAAATATTAAGGACTCCATATTAGCTGTCCGTACTATAGTGAACCAAAATAAAGAAAACCTAAAAAGTATGTAAAATGAGGAATTTGGGGTACATTCTTTTTAAATGCTATGAAGTATAATACAGCGATTCAGTGACGAAAGCTTCATCCAGTCTATGGTCTATTATTCATACGCAGGGATATGTGGCCACATTCATTCATTTACTAGGTAAGTTATTATTACCATTTAATGTTTATTGAGTGTTCACTATGTGCAAGGTGAATATTTCTCAAACCTTTTATTTTTATAATCCCTCATGCCCTTCATCTCCCCTCCATCAAAGCCCAAGTCTACAGTTCATTTCCTTTTTGGCATCTCAGCAGATCTTAAAATCTGTGCGACAGGGAATACTTAAGGTGGGTTCAGGATGTGGAGGAAACTGTCACATTCCATTCCTAGAGCTCAGAACTCACAGATACCACCACAAAGCAACACTTTGAAGTCAGCCAGCCTGAGTCACCACAATCCCACTGGAGCTTTCTCACAACTTTCCTGGGGGTCCTGAACCTCAGTCCGAAAACACGGGATGAGGTGCTTAGAGACCAGACATGTGGCAAGATGCCTGGGCTGCGGAGCCTCCCCACCTCTGGGGGCAGAGGGCTGAAGGAACAGTTGGTGTTTATATTCCACCTCTCTCCATGAGTATTCTAAGCAGAAGACGATTTCATGAAGTAGAAAGAAAACTAACTTAATTATTGGCTAAAAATAAGGCAAACTTTTATGAAGCACTCTACTGCAGGGTGCTGAACTAAGTATCCTGTGTACTTTATCTCCTCTTTGCTTCTCAGCAAAGCTCACCATCAGCCCCGCTTCTCCCACTGCCCTTTCATTAATAGACTAGTTTACAGGACAGCAGTACATGCACAGCAAAATTGAGAAAAGATACAGATATTTTTATATTATCCTTAGCTCCACACATGCATAGCTCCTCCCATTATCATCCCCTATAGAGTGGGACATTTGCCACCATTGATGAACTGACATTGACATGTCATAATCACCTGGAGTCCATGGTTTACATTAGGGTTCACTCTTGGTGTCGTACTTTCTGTAGGTTTAGACAAATGGATAATGACATGCATCCACCATTATAGTGTCACTCAGAGAGTTTCACTGGCAAGACCCTTTTTCACGTAAGAAAGTGAAGGTTACAAGGGTCAAGCAGTTCTTAATGGACCTGGTATTCAGCCAGAGCCATAGCTCAAAGCCCCTAGCATCTCCACCTCTGTGAGGCCTGGGCCGTTTTCCAGATTTGCTGTTTCTTGTTGGAAACAAGGCAAACCTCTTTTTCTCATAGTTTCTCCATCTTCAAAGAAAGGTAATAGGGGAAAATGTTCTCCCCTCTGTGGACTTAGTTCCACCTTAAGACACAGCATGACTCTGTCATGATCCCTGCCAGGCATTGTGTTCTGTGAATCATTGAACTAGAGAGGACAATAGAGGGACTGTTGCCATAGAACAACTAACCCATCTTTGGCAGGTCAGGCTTATGGTTTCCCTATCATGAATGAGATCATCTAGAGCCAAGAGTTTATGTTTTGTTTTTTGTTTTCTTTTTTATAATTGCTACATGACTCTTCTGTCTCTTAAGAACCAGCACCAACTCTCAGTTCTTTTATTTCTTACATTTCTTTAATAGATCCAATGGTCTGAGTTTGTTTTTGAGTAATTGATGTATTTTCTTGGCCTAGAACAGTGATTCTTGATGGGATAATTTAACCCCCGGGGGACATTTGGCAATGTCTGGAAAGATTTTGGGTTTTCACAATTAGGGTGTGTGGGGGGTGAGGGAGAGATGCTGCTGAACTTTAGTGTGTGGAGGCGGGAGATGCTGTGAAGCACCCTGCAGTTGGCAGCACAGGCTCCCCAGACAAAAAGTTACCTGGCTCAAAATGTCAGCAGTGCCAACACTGAGAAACCTAAAAACAAGGCAAGTCTGTTTTCCACACTTTTGAGAACTTCAAAAGTTGTATTATTTAACTTTATTCTTCCCCCTCATGCCCAGTCCCTCGCGATTTAAATATTCTGCAAATCTTGAGCCCCTCTCATATTACTGGCTTTGAACCAGATGATAGGATGATAGTGATGAAGCTGCAAGTGCCACCTCCCCTTACGGAGCTTCCTGTCGGTGGTTTAAGTCACACAGATACTCTGGCCCCCATATAGGGATGGAGAACATGAAATCAGAGTCAGCATAAAATACCTCAGTGTTTGCAGGGACCAGCTTTACTATAGTCCCTGAATTGGAACACATGTTTTACTTTGATAGAACAGCCTAAGTTTTAGAATGCAGCAATTTCATGTAGGAAACCCAAAACTAATATTATAACTAATGTGTTGTATGACACAGAGATGAGTTGATGGTGACTCTGATTTTTTAAAATTTATTTTACTTTAAGTTCTGGGATACATGTGCCGAACGTGCAGGTTTGTTACATAAGTTAACATGTGCCATGGTCGTTTTCTGCACCTATCAACACATTATCTAGGTTTTAAGCCCCACATGCATTAGGTATTTGTCCTAATGCTCTCCCTCCCCTTGGCCCCACCCCCCAAGAGGCCCCAGTGATGTTCCCCTCCCTGTGTCCATGTGTTCTTATTGTTCAACTCCCACTTACGAATGAGAACATGAGGTGTTTGGTTTTCTGTTCCTGGATAGTGACACTGATTCTTATTCGCAGTACTTCACCAGTGTATTATACATGTGATATTCCTTAAGAACAGGCTCACAATTGTTTTAAGACAGTGTGGACACTTATAACAGAAGAAATTATAAGTCATAACAACAGAAATTAAGAAATATATTCCAGAGATTATTAAGCTTCAACCAAGAAAGCAAACACATAGGACTATTTCCTTCAGTGGTTTCTAGACGATCCAAACTAAATTACCCATAAGATCCTCGCCAGTCCACAAAAGTCTCCTTCCTATGTCAGGAGTCTCCAGTCTGAGCTTGGAAAAGATCACGGTGGGAATTAATGTGTATCCCCTCTTTTGTTATGCAGATGTGCCGTGGATCGACATCCCACTGATATAAACATCAATTTAACTATACTTTGTTCAGACTCCAATGGAAAAAACAGATCATCAGCCAGAATCCTACAGATAATAAAGGGGAAAGATTATGGTATGTAGAACATAATTTGCTGATTTTGCTTTAGTTCCAGTTTTGTTTTAGTATATTTAGCCACTGAAGAGAAAAGGATTTCTGAAAAATGAGCATTTGGGAAAGCATAAAAACGCTGGCCTGACAATGATGAGGGAGTAAATTGCTCACTTTTTAAAGCTCCAGTGACTCTTACAAGCCCTGAGAGTTCCATCTGGTTAATTATCACGGGTTGAATGGTTCTCAGTAGGTCCAAAAAATTTAACAGGCCTTCAAATGTTAGCAGCTTATATTTTGCTCATCAGAGAATCAAGAAGAATAACTTCTATTCAATAAGGGAGAGCTTGTCTTAACGTCATACATACAGAGAAAGAACAAATGTTAAAAGTAAGACATTTCTCAATATCCAACACGCCTGTCTCAGTAGTTAGGAAAATTGTAAGTGATTCAGATAAAAATGTAATTTTTTAAAAGAAATGTTTATTTTAGAGAAAACAAAGTAATCAATGTGTAAAAGCAAGTCATGGGAATGGGACAGTTAAGCAGTATTTTTAATAACATGAATACTTGAATATTTAGAGAGAACATGTAAAAATACAAAGTTGGATAATAATAAAGTTCAAAACACTTAGTATTTTTTAATATTTTAGAATTTATTCCTTTTGAAGGAAGCAATATATCAACCATTATTATGATTCAGGAAACACAGTAGATTAAGATTATTAAATTGATTGCTTCTTCTATTTACTCATTCAATACAGATATTTATTTAACACCAGGAATGAAGCAGCTGTGTTAGTTCATGTGGTATTCAGTTATTTTACTTTTTTTTAGGTATTTGTGTGTGTGTGTGTGTGTGTGTGTGTGTGTACACAGACACATGCATCTTTTAAAAGCCAAACCAAAGAGTAATGTGATTTGCAAAAAAAAAAAAAAAAACCTAATGCCTTACTAGCTTGATGAAATTTAGGCTATATTTGCAGATTAGACGAAATTCTACAGTCACATTAATTGAGGTTAAACTAAAATTGGTTACAATATCAACAGCCCTACATCTATGTATTTTTAAAACACATCTACAGTGCTTACTACATGCCAGACCCAGTAGTAAGCACTTTATACTCATTTCCTTTATACTGGCACTATCATTGGCCACATTGTACAAATGAGGAAACAGGCACAGAAAGATTAACTTTCACACAACACAAAGTGGCAGCGTCAGGATTTGAATCTGAGCACCGTAACTCCAGCTTGTGACCTTAGTTATTCAATTATGCTACCTCTCAGTGTGCTCATTATTTAAAATTTCTCTTATCTTTTCTATCTTTTCATAGTCTCATATATATCATAATCACATGGGAGGGAAAGAGGTCATTAAAATTACTCTCTTTCCACAAAAGTTTTTGATAAAAGCTGTTGATAATGACTTCTTTGACATTAAACACACAAAAGGTAATTTTCATATTAATTTTCAAGTGGTTTTAGAGCTTTTCAAGTACAATTAGCATTCATATATTCAAGTATGTAATGGCATGCACAGAAAGATAGAGACACAGGCTAATACACATGTAGCTCAAGAGTTATTGAAATAGACTTTCTTATCCACACAACTCTCTGAACAGAATGTTAAAATATTTCAAATGAAGATATTACTTGACTGAGTTACAATGTTTTCATATATAGAATAAATGCATGTTTAAAGACCTTTTATGTACTATGTTTTATTTTCATTAAAGTGTATGCTTTTAAACATTTTATATATTTTGACAGAGGTCTGTCTCAATTTACTCAATGTATGCAGAAGCATTTCTACACAAAACTTAGTATGTAAAATTTTAAGTTTTTTTTTAAAGTATTTTGGTTCTAAAGTAAATAATCATGAGTCCCAAAATATCCAGATTCTGATTTCATTGAAAACTTGGTATGTCTTGAAAATTACAACAGCAAGCATTTGCAGAGTATTTTCATTTCTCTAAGCTGTACAAGGTCTATTTTCATTAAATATGGAGACTATTTTCACTAAATATCTCCAGCAAGAATCCCTTTGGTATATCATAGAACACATTTCAGAGTTAAATTACTGTAATAATTGTTGCTTGCTGTACATTTCCTTTGACCCAGCAATCCCATTACTGGGTATATACCCAAAGGATTGTAAATCATTCTACTATAAAGGCACCTGCACACGTATATTTATTGCAGCACTGTTCACAATAGCAAAGACTTGGAACCAACCCAAATGCCCACAAATGATAGACTGGATAAAGAAAATGTGGCACATATACACCATGGAATAATATGCAGTCATAAAAAAGAATAAGTTCATGTCCTTTGCAAGGACATGATGAAACTGGAAACCATCATTCTCAGCAAACTAACACAAGAACATAAAACCAAACACTACGTGTTCTCACTCATAAGTGGGAGCTGAACAATGAGAACACGTGGACACAGGGAGAAGAACATCACACGTCAGGGCCTGTTGGTGGGTGGGGAGGGTTGGGGAGGGATAGCATTAGGAGAAATACCTAATGTAGATGACAGGTTGATAGGTGCAGGAAACTACCATGGTTCATGCATACCTATATAACAAACATGCATGTTCTGCACACGTACCCCACAACTTAAAGTATAATTTTAAAAAATTCCTTTTACTTTATGAAAATGTTTCATTTGATCTAATGCTATGTTTCTTTCCAGAAAGTGAGCCATCACTTTTAGAATTCAAGCCATTCAGTAATGGTCCTTTGGTTGGTGGATTTGTATACCGGGGCTGCCAGTCAGAAAGATTGTATGGAAGCTATGTGTTTGGAGATCGTAATGGGTAGGTTACCTGATACTACAATATGATATACCAAATGACATATCCACTAATCACTTGGCAGGCTGCCACAGAATATTCAAATGAGTGTCTCTTTTTGTGGATCAGAGGGGAACACACATAAATATTATTTACTTTTAGTTCCATAGATATAATGGTTTAGTTGAAGAACTTATGAAAAAAGTGCTTCTCAACAGGCTTGATAAATTTCACAAAATAAATTTTAAGGCCACAGAAATCTTCAGATGGACTTTTCATATTATTTACCCTCTTCCCTTCATCCTCAACATAAATTTACAATGATGATAAATAATTTGAAAACTATTATTTTACCTGCTCTATAAATATTTTTTTAATTATGTTGGAAGGATAAAGATTTTTGGTTTTGCCAAATTTTCAGGATTTTAAGCAAGAGAACATAATTTGTCTCTACAAGTAAAAATAATACAAAATTAAATTTTAGTCTCAATTTGCAAGGTCACATTGTAGATAATTGTAAGAAACTCTGTGATGAAATCCAAATTAAGAATTTTGTTTCCCAAGTCACTGGCATTCAGGCATATGGCAGAGCTGATACTCTTGATCGCTACTGGGAACTAGAAAAATGTACTGACCCCATGCTCTTCCCCTGTTCCTCTCTCTGATTAATAGCACAGCATGGAGTCTAGTCCTGGCGAGGAAGTATCATTCTCTGGATGAAGGGGAGGGCTTTTCTCATACTCAGGTACTTTTAGTGCCCCCTCCAAACAAAATACTATTTTAAGTACTTTCCCCGCATATGGGAATTTCACAGTACTCACACACATTATGGGCTATTTTTTCCTTTAGAAGCCAGGTCTATGGCAAAGCGACTGTTATGAATTTTATTTTAAACATTTTATTGACATCTTTAAAGAAAAACATGTTTTCATTGTAGGTTTATGGTATGTTTTTGTTGTAGGAATTTCTTAACTCTCCAGCAAAGTCCTGTGACAAAGCAATGGCAAGAAAAACCACTCTGTCTCGGCACTAGTGGGTCTTGTAGAGGTTACTTTTCCGGACATATCTTGGGATTTGGAGAAGATGAACTAGGTACTGTATAAACTAGATTTGTTAAGATTCATCCTCACTTTTTTCCAAGAGGCTTTGTTCTTCCCTCAAGAATAAATATAGCAATCTTATCCTCTACTTGTTGGGAATGTAATCTACAGTAAAGATGACCTACTCCAGAAATTAAGACGGTCCAGTTACATATTATCTACCAGTAGCTTTTCCCTGAGGGCCTTTATATTTTATTTCCACACTAGAAATACTAAAATACAAGGCAGAAAACTGGGAAGAAGGAAAAGAATTTTTTAGTTCTGAATAGATAATTTTTTAACTGTTTAGTGATATTTTTTATTATATATATCTAATAGAATAGAAATTATGTTATCATGGAACAATATGGTATAACATATAATATACACGTTTATCAAAATGTAGGCAGCTTAACAAGTAAAAAGAAGTTGAAATTGAAACATGATCAGTCAATGAGTAAAAATTTTGCTATCTACTAATTTAAATTACAGAGGTAACTGTAGTTTCATAGTGACTCCCTTTACATAAATAAAATAAATAAAAGTATTGAGAGTCTGGTATTTTGTATTTTTTTAACTATAAAGTCAAGACAGATTTGTTGTGAGGATTAAATGAGGTAAACTATAAAATATTTGATAAAATAAGTATTAATTCTCTCAATTACATTCCTTTGCTTTTTACTTTCATTTTTATTTTTTCTATTGTGCCTATGTTTTTAATACAAACTGTGTAACATCCTTTTCAGAAGTAGAAAAGTAGCAGGGTGAGTTTAGTGCAAAATAATAGAGTGAAAAAGAGAAATATAGACTAAATCAAGGATTATTTCATGACAGAGGACCAAATATAAATTTTAAAACTTATTTAAAGCTGTAATTATAAATACAGCTTCTAATTTTCTATTCTCATGATCAATTCAATACATAGAATTATATGAAAGTAGTGATGAAAAATGGGGTGATTTTTTTTTCTAAAAGAGTACCCCATCTGTTGTATTTCACCATTATGAACACAGCTAACATGAAGAGTTAGAGTTTAGAGAGTTGAGACTGAGCATCAGGGTCTCTTTCTCTCTCTCTCTCTCTCTCCCCAATGTTTATTTTAACATACTGTGGTGTACTTTCATATCTCCTAAAAAGCTAAAGATTAAGAAGTTGCAACCCAATTTCATGTGGCCTCACATTATCAATTAATAGTAACAACCTGATAACCAACACCTATCAGTCTTGCACATAAATAAATCAAGATAAAGCTTGGCCATTCAATATTCATTCTACAAATATTTATTGAGCACCTACTCTGTGCAAAGCTCTGTTCTAGATGCTGGGGATGCAGGAGTGGATAAAGAGACAAAAAGTCTAAACTAGTGTCATGAAATTTATGTTGTAAAGGAGGAGGAAAATGAAAATAATTTTAAAAAATACTGTCTATAAATGGGTAATAAATGCTTTGAAGAAAAATCTAGCAGTGAAGAGGAATTGCTGGGAGTTGGGGAAGGCGCAATTTTAAAGTGCAGTTAGGAAAGGTGATATTTAAGTACATCCTTGAAGGAGAGGAAAAAGATTAATCTAGTAGAGACACAGAAAGATGGAGCCTGTGACAGGAGCCTGGAACAGCAAGAACCTGAAACAGGAGCCTGAGCTGGGAACCTGCCTCCCATGTGTGAAACCACAAGCCAGTGAGGCTAGAGAGGAGTGAACTTGAGGGCAACATGTTGCAGATGAGGTTATAGCAATAAGTGCTTCTGTCAGGACTTGCTTTTGCTCTAAATGAGATAAGAAGATATTGCAGGGCATTGACACAAATGACTGAGATTTAAGTTACATGATCTAACTTCTTTGAAAGAATTGCTGTGGCTGGTACATTGAGAATACACACAGAAGAAGAGTGGCAACAGGGAGCTCGGTTAGAAGGCTGTAGTCATAATCTAAGTGAGAAATAATATCTGCTTGCACTGAGTAGTGGCAGGATATTGCTACTACTAAAGGAGTGACTGGAATCTGGAATTCTGGATGCATTGTGAAGGCAAACTTGTAAGACTCTTGCATAATCTTTAGGCAAGGGATTTGCTTGGTGGATAGGTGGAGGTAGATTTACATATAGAATATCTGCCAGGCAATAGGAAGTAAGGTCCTGTACTGCTGTGAATTTGCATATTGTTGTTTCTTTAACAGGTGAAGTGTACATTTTATCAAGCAGTAAAAGTGTGACCCAGACTCACAATGGAAAACTCTACAAAATTGTAGATCCCAAAAGGTGAGATTTCTTTCTATCCCATTAAGCCAAGTAATTTTCTTCTTTCAGTTATTTTAGTTCATTCAATTAACGACAGAAACGTTACAATGAGCAATCAGCAAAGATGTCCACTTCCGCCATTTCCTTATACTCAGCACTGTCCTGAGAGGATCCTCTTCCCCTGTCTAAGATGACTAATGCCACTATGCAGAGCTTTAAAAGCTCATTCATGTTGTTCTTGCTGCCATCACAGAGCAGCGTTACATTCATGGAATCAGAGTCCTCAGTTAAAAGCCAGGAGGGGCCTGACATGTGAGGCAGTGGCTTAGGCCCTGGTGTTGGAAGCCATAAACCCTCCTTATTGTTAAGAAAATGAGAAACATACTGGCAGACATGACAGTTGCTAAGTATGATTTTTGCTAAGTAAACAGATAAGTTACTTTGGCAGTTCAACATCTGAGCCTCATTTGGAAACTATCTGAAAAGCTCATAGTGCTCATGAAGACTGTAGTGACTAGATAAATAAAAACTTAGGTATGGTTTTGTTATTCGCTTCAGCAAAAGAAAGATTTGAATCTTTTAATCCTTTAAAGAGTATGTTTATCTTGCTCCTGGTCCTTCCCACCCACCCATCACAACATGTATACCTAGGTACTTCAATCATCTTGAATCATTTCTAGTCCATTGTCAATTTCATGGATCAAACCTGAGCTATCAGAAGCTGCTAAAATTATATGTTGTCAAAAAGACATTAGTCATAAATTTAGAAACAACTAACCATAAAAAAACATAAGGATTGTCACAGACACCACTGTTGCTGAACACTAGGAGTTATTACTCTTTAGCCACACCGTGCTGCAAATTTCAGATTCCTTCTACGTTACTTTCATGAGCCCATTTTCAAATTTCAATTTCTGAATTTCAAGTCTCTTTCAAAATAATTAATTCTAATAATCTGAAAAGTTTACTAAGGGCATTTAAAAATATTCTTTGCAAATTGTAAATTTCATAGGCTTTTCTGAGACTTTTGTCCTTTTTCTATACCACAAAATGCTTTTCTGAGGAAAATGTAGTTTTACATCGACTCTTGTGGAACAAAAAGAAGAATCAGTTCTAAACGATCTCTGGGCAGTATCACATATCACAAGTTGATAACATTCCTTTTCTATTTAACAGGATACACTTTCTTTCACAGTAAGAAAAATACCCATCTATATGCTATAGCGATGTTTTTCCTCAAGTGTGAAATTAATGACCTCCATAAGAAAAGTAAAGATATTAATGAAAAAAAATCAGACACTTAGGGGATTGTTGAAGTTGGCAATCTTAAGAATAAAAATCAAAGTAATGTTAATTAACAAAATAGCAGCATTCTAAAGATTCATAATGAGGTGTAGGGATTTCACTCAGATCTGATACAATTAGTTTCAAAACTGTCCTTGTTATTCCATTACACTAAGTTGATATGTTTTTGCAAAGTACCTGGTAGTATCGTAATGGATTCTCTCTCCCCACAAAAATCTTTCTTTCTTCATCTGGATTGTTTAGTCTGTGGCTGAGTTGAGGTGAATTTTACACCTTCAATCTATTATTAGTGTCTAATTACCAAGGTCCCATAAGGGACCTTGGCTTTGTGATCTTAGCTCTCCTCTAGTAGGGTGGTCTCAGAGTGACATACCTGAAGGCCTGACTTCTCATTATGGCGCCTGTTTCTGGTGAGTCATGTCATGTCGGGGGCTTGGGTTAAGATTTGTGTTTGCTTTTCAGGAGGTGGGAGAAGTGGCAGAGTCCCAAAGCATCATCCTTATACACAGACATGAGCATAAATTCCAAAATTAAACTGACTATAAGAAAACAAATGTTTTTATAAACACTTGTTGGGAGCCTCATGCTGTTTTGATTTGGCCATCAACGTTTATTATTATAGTATTCCTTCCTAGATGAGTTGAAGTTCTATATAAGCAGACACTTAAGTATGTGAACAGGATTATTTTGGAAACAAACTAATTATAAGCATAGTAATGTTCAGGATGTCTGTGTTAGAGCAGGATTGTTTTTCTAAAATTTTTGAGGCAGAATTTTAAAAAGTAACCTTATCAACTAAAAAGCAATATATAGACAGGTTTTGTATACCACAAGTCAAACACAAATTAAACTCTTAGGTTAATTATATTCTTGCACTGAAGCCCCCAGACTTGTTAGAATAATGTTTTCAGAATAACTTTCAAACATCAGTTTTGTGGCCCAAGAAGAGAAAAGCAGCAAATTATGAAATTATTATTTTCTGTATTATATGCCATAGAAGTTACACTCTTACCATAAGATTTATGTTTTTTTATTTTTCCCTACATGTGTGCACGTGTGCACACACACACACACACACACACATATACACAGTGAGGGAGTTTAGAATTCATAGAAACTATATATGCAGTATCTCTTAAATCATTTTGGCAAAAACAGATAAGGTTCTAGTATTACCATCTCAGTCTGTAAAGACAATTTGATCTAAGGCTGTAAGTTACGTAATCATTTACATAAGTTTCAAATCAATTACAGTGTGCAGCCGTCTCAGAAAAGGATGGTGAGATACCTTGTTGTAAAAATTAAATGCCATCATTTAGCATGAAAAAAAATAGAAAATGCCTGGAACTCAGAAGTTAACTTAAGGAAAAAAAAAAAAGGAAACAGAAGGAACATTCCAAGGAAACAAAAAGGAATTAAGTTTGCCTTCATGTTAGAACATTGTATACACTTCTGGAATATCTTTGGGGATTGAGCAGTCACATCATATGGGAGAGCAGAATTAGGGTCAAATCAACACCAATCACCCAGTTGGCTCAGCCAACTCACAGGATCCAAAAAGTCTCTAGTACTGAATCCAGCATGCCATAGGCTGGGGGCTCCTACAGCTAGCACCTCTGGAAAACAGACTTAGGTGAACCGACACGAAATCTTGGCAATAATTTTACTTGCACTTAGTAGTGCCATCTGAAACTAGTCAAAACTGGGAGCAAGTCTAACTGGGTAAGACAGGGAGTGGATTGATTTGGTCTCTAAATCTTCCTTAGTGTAACACCCAGCACAGATTATTTCACCATACTGTGCCCCTTTGTCCATCAAATAATATATAGGTGATATTTCTGTCCCTGCTGCATTTTACAGAGGGCTGTGAAGCTGATTAAAATATTTTAAACATGTTACATTCTTTAGTAATTTTTGTATGTTTATTCTAGGCATTCCAGGATTATTTTTAGGTGATCTCTCAACTTTTAAGGTTCCTTTAGTTCCATAATTGGAATACAGACCTTCATGGAGCTTCTAAGAACTCCTAATACGGCCATGCGCAGTGGCTCATGACTATAATCCCAGCACTTTGGGAGGCCAAAACGGGTGAATCACTTGAGGGTCAGGCATTTGAGACCAGCCTGGCCAAAAGAAGTGAAACCCTGTATCCACTAAAAATACAAAAATTAGCTGGGTGTGGTGTGACTGCCTGTAATCCCAGCTACTTGGGAGGCTGGGCAGGTGAATCACTTGAACCAGGGAGGCAGAAATTGCAGTGAGCCAAGATCACACTATTGCACTCCAGCCTGGACAACAGAGTGAGACTCTGTCTAAAAAAAAAAAAAAAAAAAAAAAAAAAACTTTCAACACGTAGTTTTCAAATGTCCAAATTACACCTTGGATGCTCTCTCTTTGCTAAATCCTTTCAAAATTACATAAATGTTCCTGGGGGTGGAAATAAAAGAATTCTCACAGTTATGTAACTTCCAAGATTTATTTTTATAGAACACAATTTTTTTCATAGTATTGACAAATATTCTTTAATTTTTGTTTTAAATGAACTTAAGCCAAATGACTTTTTTGTTTTGAAATGTTTCCAGGTTTTATTTCTCCAGGAATTTGTAAAGGAAAATTATTCTCCATTATGTTGATTTAATTTACTATGTACTCACTCTTGCTATATTTTAACATACCGTTTATCTGTTACCCAACCAAGTCACACAGACCATTCCCTTAAGACTAAATTAACAATGCAAACGCCAGGCTCGAGAGGTCATTTTACAGAAACATTGTATCCCCAAACTCCTCTGTGACCAATATCCAAAACTGCCCCTCGTACCTCTTCCTCCTATGGCCCCCTTGCTGTCCCTTGTTTATTGTTTTCTTAATATCTTCATCCTACTTCTCATTACACTGGATGCTAAAGAGTGCTTTTTTCAAAAAAAAAATCACTTTATAAGAGGAAATCAGTTCTGTTTATCCTTCACATATGTCTCAGGGAGCCAGCAGGCAGCTCTGCCATCCTAAAGAAAGTCATACATAATAGAGCAGCTTTAGCCCAATAAGCCAGTCTAGTCCCAATTCATCAGTCAAAGTTTTATGCAAGTGGCCCCCCTAAGTTGATAAATTCCCACAGTGCCTGTTGACCCAGCTGCCAAGTCCTCTTGCAGCAGGTGGTGTTTTCATGGCCACCCTGACAGTAATACAAACTGTTTAGCAGCTCCATTGACCTTTCAGCTATTAACAGGGATACAGGCTCCACTAGGGACTAGTTTTCAAACATGACAGAATTTCTTAACACTAGAGGTCATGAACAAGTATATGCCCTATAAAAGTCCATTCAGCATGGTGGATTTGAAGTCTAAGAGACAAGGAAACATTTTCCACATTTCTGCTATTATCATTCTATGTATCCAGTAACCAAAGATGGATATACACTTATCTGACTGATGATATTTTATTCTCAGTGTACTAGATGTCCTGTTGTGGTGCACAATACCTTTTCAACTAACAAATCCCTCCTAAGCTGCCATATAGCGTCTGAAATTGTAGAGATATATTACAACAGAATTGGGCAAGATCAAAGTCAAAACTTCTAATGAATGGATGAGCATGCATACATAATAGGCGGTAGCAGCCTGAGCATAACTAAAATTTTATTCATACTTTAGCAAAATTTGCATACACGTACATGAGTACAGACACACTTAAACATACGGGTAACACATGCAATG